CCCCTCCGGTTGGATGATGCGCTGTTCATGAACAACGCATCATCCAACCGGAGGGGGACAGCTCACCTGCCCCCCATTGGGTCACCTATTTGGGGTCCACGGAGCATTAATCAATGGCTAAACGGCACTAAATACCTTAATAGTTTTCCCCACTTGTATACTCTCACTTATACCTCGAAATTTCAAAAAGTTATCATTTATTAACTCTATATTATGCAAACGCGAGAATTTTTTTCCGAATTTTCCCATGCGTCATTCACAAGCCAATTTTAGAACTTTTTAGCCATTATATTTGTTGAATTTAATGTTAAACATACCCTAAGTCTATTTTAAAGGCTATCCCAGTTACATTTTAAAAATAGAGTTATGGTGGATTTTACTATAAATTCAACAAAAATTACGGACTACAAAGTTCTAATTTTAGCTTGTGCGTGCAGAAAAGATCGGAAAAAAAAAAGATCTCATGTTTCCATGATAGAATACATTAAAGTGCAAATTTCAGACTTTCTAGGGTGTATGAATGCCGCGAAAAACAAGTGAGGGTATATAAGTACAATATCAAAAGGCAAGTAGTGGATGCTAATTAACCAAAGAAAACAGATGGGCACCCATGACCACGAGAACGCCACTACTTCTGGACCTTCTCATGTTCCTTCCTGAGATTAATTAAAAAAAATTGTGACCCCATATATATTTCAACTTGCAATTAAACCAGCAAGCGTGGTCACGGGACCCGACTTTAATTTGCGCGCGTGCGGTACAACTTTACAACCACCCACCGCGCTACGCAAAATGCTGCGCCCACAAAATTGAAGGCCGTATGCAGATGCGGACGCTGGCGTGGAAAAGGCGACTACATAGAGAAGAACATTCTGTAGAAAATTAAAAAAAAAAAGAAATCCTAGGACGCTTGCTGGCATATATAGATGTAACTATACATATGCCAAGGGAAATAATCAACAACCATAAATTGTTAGTTGGGTTTTTGCATCCAATATTATCATTACCGGTTAAAGTTGAAAAAACGAAGATAAAAGATAACAAGGACATAAAAAAGTTCACGGGACTGTTCCTTCAAAATCTTGATTGTGAGCCAAAAGGAAATAAATATATATAGCTCATTTTTTGGGTTAACCGCCCTTGCGTACGCTATAGTGCCCCTATTTTCATCTACATACTCTCAATTTGTTTTTCACAACACTTCTATATCGTAAAGTTTATAAAACTTCCACTTATGTACCCTCACTTGGTTTGTCAACACTTATACACCCCAAAACTTTAGAAAGGTGCAGTTAAATACTCTTAAAATTTTAAGCTTGTACTAAATACCCTCACTTAGGGGTGTCCAAAAAGCCCGGAGCCCGGGCCCAGCCCGGTGTCCGGCCCGGGCCCGGCCCGGTCGTGCCCGGGCCCGGAAACCCGGGCAAAACCCGGGTCCGGGTCGCCATTGGGGTCGCCGT